ATATATAGGATGTGTATATTAATATAAATAATAATAATAATAAAATATATTATATTAATAGAGTGATTGTGACATTTTATGTTTTTTAGTGATTTTTCAAGTTTCAATGCATTCACACCCTTATTAAGGGGGTGCCATTAGCACTCCCCCTCATTATTCAACACCCCCTATCAAGGGGGTGCCATTAGCATTTCCCTTCTTATTTTAGTCAATTTGTCTAAGATTCAAATTTCAGTTTTCTGGAATTGTTGAGTTTAGTCAGTTCGAACTTTTTAGTTTCAGATTTTTTTTTTAGTTTAGGTCTATAAGTTTGAGAGTGTCTTTATAGTTTTAAAATTCCAATGCAACCACAAAATTAGAAGAATATATATAGGAACGATCAAATGAAAACCACTCCAATTTGTAAAAACTGTAAAAACTACTCTCATCTGTCGTAATCTTATGAAATTTTTTCATTAAATTGTTTAATCTTATGAAATTGTTTTATATAATACTTTTTTTTTGATGAAATTGTTTCATATATGGTTATGAAATTGTTTCATATACTACTTAATGAAATTTTAATGAAACAGTTTCATGTATTTCTCTAAAATTAAAATAATGAAGATATAATATTCATGAATAACACCCTCCACAATAAAAATGGTTAATCAACCTCTCATAATTACAAAAAAAATGAACAAAATGAAAAACTATGATTGGTTGAATAAGGTTTTTACGGTGTTTACAAATTGAGTGGTTTTTATTTGAACGCTCCCCTATATATTGAACGCTAACTTTCCCACCAGGACCTACCCTCAACCATAATTTCTTTAAAATAAAGAACAAAAAATCAAAATCTCTAAAATAAATTATATTAAAATCTAACAGATTATCTATTTTAGAAATTTCATCATTAATTATATTATTTAAATATTCTATAATTTTATGATCAAAATACACTTTTAATTTTGTTTTACATAAAATAACATTAATTCAATCTCATTTATGAAATGAATAAAAAAACTCATTTCTTTGTTTTCTAGTGAAAGTTTTAGGCTATGTTTGACAAATTAGTTAATAACTGATGGTTGATAAGCTAACTAGTAGTTGATGAAAAAAATCATGTTTGACAAAAATTAGCTGATAAGATGTAAAATGAACAAAAAGAATATCTTAAAAAATTAGTAAATTAAAATATTTTAATAATATAATCAAAACAAGTTAAAATAATATAATATGTTAATGAAAAGAATTTTAAATTAATTATTAYATATATCATAAATTTTGGATTTGTAAAAACAAACTTTGGAAAAATCTGCATTACTTTATGATTTTAAACATCCA